ATATTTTTATGTTACGTGGCATCTATACTTTACCCTGCGAGTAAGGTTATTTGTGCAAAGCCTATATAACCTTAATATGAGACGAAGCTGGAATCGTCTGCTCGCCATGGAAACAACATAAGCTGTGTTTATTTTCACTTGTGACAATATCAGTGTGAGCGTAACCTATATAATTTATATTTTTACTTTTAAATATTTGCTTAATAACCTTAATTTACTTACCCTCATCAAAAATGCCCAAAATAATGTACTCAATACAAGTACGAGAATTTTGCAATTGTTATAGCTCTACCCCCCTCCGACCATTGAGTGGTCAGTGCCATAGTCGAAATCAGCTGCGTTCTTTCACAATGATAAGCAGGCGACGATATAATCTACTGTTCTATATCAAATAAACATCAACGGCTCCTCCCACTCAATTAAGCCGTTACTTAAATCACTGTCTAGTTTCCCGTCATGTCAGCTATGTTGACTTGGGACGTGTTTGCTTACCTCGAGGCAGTAGTCAATCTACAAGCTCTAGGACCCCGTCGTGTACAACTCACTAAATACCTTGCAGCTCTCGGGGCCTTGCTAAAGATTTAAGGCCATCAGTGTTTGATTACTCTTTGTATTGAATCGTTGCAAGCACGGCCATTCTGTCACTGATACCACGTAAGAGACACTGCCAACCAATAAAATTCATATATATATATTTATGTATATTGAATAACGAACTCATTCCTGTTTTTAATGATTTGTTGAGTTATTTATCCGTAGAATGGCTATTTAAATAGTACCTTAGTCGGTATCGTTAAAGTAATGACGTCCGAATCGTGTTAGTCATCATCGTCGTTATTGTTATTAATGTTGCCGTCGCCGTCATCGTTGCTGTTGTCGTTGTTATTGATATTTTTACTGCTGTTGTCTCGTCTGTGTCGTCGCGTATTACACACTGAAGCAAAATTTGATAAAAATCCATCATTTTGTTTGAAACTCGGTTGTCGTCACATGAGCGTGAAGTTCACCACAACGCCAGCGTAGCTCCATTCACCGCTGCACGTTCGGTACATTTTACTTTTCATTGTTAAAGGGATTCTGAAAGACGATCGGTAACATTGTTCTCGTGAACTAAATACGGAATAAGCTCTTCAGAGCACGATAACAAAGACCTCTTTACGATTTACTAAATGGTGGATAATTATACGAAAAAATATAATACTGTATAGTATTATTAATAAGGGAGAGTGGGTACGGAGTTGGAAAGCAAAAGATATCTTAGGAAATAAATCAATTAATTAATAATTGCTAGTAAATCATATTAATGTAAGACTTTGTGAAACATTGTACAAAATATAACGCATTTGAAATCAGTGAGGCGCTGCATACTAAGCAGACACTCTGTCTTATTCTGTGGAAAGCGCAGGTGGTTATAGCTTATCAGTCATTTTTTGTTTTGTTTTATACCAGTGAATCAAGTTAATATTTTGAGGATCTATATCAAACAAATCAAGAACGGATACTTTGTGATAATTGCAATAAAAGTGTCTATTCGGTGCATTGTTCTGTTTTGTAATTAGGTACATTTTTTGTATCCGATATTTTGTCTTTAGTAATTCTTGAGAAGATTCTATCTCCCCTTTTTTGGAGCGACTTTTAATAAGCTGTATAAAATGGCTGTGTTGCATCCCTAGTTAGGCCCACACGCATTTAGCCGTTAAAGAGTGAATATTGTATATGTTAACACCATGTTGACTACATAGTTTCTAGGCAGGAGCCTGGATATGCCACTGAGTAACAAGACATTTTGTAGATAGAATTACAACTGTTAAAAGCTCACAGTTTAAGTTGAAATGACGTGTTATGTCTGCGAACAGTGGACAATGTTTACTGGCCTGGCATAGCCTTGTACTAGGTAAGGACTGAACCATTTCCACTTATAAGGAGGGGAAGTATTATGTCGTGGGAGAAATTCGTGTTAAAATCATGACAAATAAAGCAAAATATTTTGACCGAGACAACCAAACCTCATATGTGTTAAATGCAAAACATTCCGTCAATCTAAATTTTACTTTGTGTTTCAATTTGTGAACAACAAACTCAATTACAACGCTTGTAACAGATAGTTTTATTTTTTACCTCTTCTTCTACTCCAAGTGATGTATCTCAGCGTACTAGAACTTACTGGAACGTGTCGCTATATAGTATGTCCTTCAACTCAACAATGAGTATTTTTTTTTTCAAAAAAGCCATTCTCATTTTAAAATGTCTCGTTATGATTTCGTATAATGCCCTATCTGTCGATGCATTGAGTAATACAATGTTATTTAATATAGTGTTTAATTAAGTACACGCTAATAAGATATTGAACTGATATTTCCTGTTTCCGACTCATCTACAGTGGTCTATTTGTATTGTGATAACGGTATAGCTCAGGAGGGCGTGTTGTTGAGACATGTTGTCGTCGAGGCATGGCGTCTCGTTCTTTACACTGATAGACAGGTGGTGTATTTCAATATGCATGAATGTGTTAATTAATATCTCTAAAACTATTTTCACTCGACATGCCGTGATGTCAGAATAGTTCAGAGTTTACGGCGTCTTGTGGAGTTACAGCATTGCGAGGTCGTTTCCACAGCAACCGATCAATGCATGCAGGTTCGATCTCTTCTTCACATACATCCTTATCGCATATCGGTGACCGATCACGAAATGCACAGGTTGAATAGGACTACAGATGAGTTAATTATTCAACAATGTACCTTGGTAAGCTATAGTTGTTCTTCGTGCAAATCGGTTCCCTGAATATTAGAACTTAGAACTTGCGCAATAAGCTCTACATTTTAAAAAGTTTCTTGTTTGCTACGATGGTGAAGTCAGTTTTATGTGCTTGCATCACTCGTCCTGTCCAAAATAACACTGTGTAGCTGAACGTGACAAAACAACGGCCAAGAATATTGTCACGTGAGTTAATCATTCATGACTCATTTGCATAATCTAATGTCAAATTGCTGGATTTATAGGCACTATCGAGAGAGGTCGACCGAAATTTCGATATGACATTGATTTTAAAAAATCAGTAAATAAACATAAAAAGCGTAGATTTCGTTTACTCGCGGACTTCGATGTGAACTCTACAGTATCAAACTGTGTCGCCACCGATGACGCAATATACTAGTATTCTATTTATAAATCATCACAATCGTTATATATATATGTATGTGATATGATAGGAAAGGAAGATTACCAATTGCTAGGGCATAGCCTACTGTCACAGTAGATGATTTGAGGTAGACGTTAAAGGACGGGATATGGAGACGTTCTCAGTTTATATACACCGTACAAGGGTGAGGCGTCAGAGTGTCTGCCGTCAATGCTTATATCGCCCCTCCCCCTCATACACGCACGCACGCATTCCATATTTTTTCAACCTGATTAGAAAAATCTCAGTAATAACATAATATTACAAGAACACACGGAATAAAAATAGTCTATCTCACTCATACAGAAAATGAAATATCGTAGCGAATTATGCAAATATGGTTTGTTTTATTTATTTATTTATTTATGAATAAATTTCTTACATTGATCAGCATATAGCACGCAGAAAGTAGATATAAAATATGGGAAAATACAAAATGGTAAATTTAGGAAAATAAATAGGGCCGAACATTTAACATTTCCACGGTTCCAACGCAGTGAAAGGTTTGACACGCAACGATGACAGTTAGACAGAATTTAGCGGCATGAATCGAATGTGAGAATGATTGATTGGCAATTGTACACTTGTGAGGAGTATAACAAAATAACATAGATACAAATAGAAATGGAAAGTAACTGTTAAGTGGCTGAAGGGCGGGAAAGTAAATCTCATCTCTTGCATTTCGCAATAAGAATTATATATACAGAGTAGCGGCTATACAAATTGTCTAGGATGCGAATACAGTACTGGGCTTACGGGAAAGAAGAACCACAAAGTGCTAGAGACTTTCTATCGCTGGGTTCAATTAGTCGTAATAATAATTCCTGAACATCAGCAACTAGATTACATCAAAGCGTTCAATGTTGACTTGACTAACAATTGCAATTGCTGAAGTAATTAACTAGCAAATATAAATGATGGCATAGAGAGACGAAGAAAGACGGACGTGTCCATGCACTTTCTTTAAAACATCGCTCTGCACGAGACACAATTACTAAACTAAACATGCTGTTTCGTGAAAAATGGGAAAATAATGATATTTATGTGATTTGATTTTTCATAATAAATAAATTATTTTCTTTTTATCTCAAATGAAGTAAGGTTTATAATAGAACGTTTCTCTTTTCTGTTACAACTTTATCACCGGGGTCTATTCTAATCCGTTTTGGGAATGAATGAAGTGAAATAACAAAGAAACATAGCCAATCTGCAAGTGACATCAGTCGATGAATGCAATCGACAGGAGGGTAGTTTGTATCATTTCGATGGGTTTGATCAATTGATTTCACTCAATAATAAAATAAGGTGAAATGAAATTACACATCGACAAAGCTTTAATAAAAAAGCAATATATTAATAAATGACAAACCAGCACGACTTCCATTGCTTAATGCATGACCTACCAGCTTCATCATTGCATTTATCGATACCTCTTTTCACTGAATGCATTTAACATTTTGACTTCATCATTAAGTTTTGAAGTAGTCCATGTGGCAGTAGTAAATTAACCAACAATTTTTTTACGCAAGAGAAACAAGTTGCAAAATTAAATTTTGACTTTTTGTTGTCAGTCTGTCTGCGTCGGCCGCCACTGAACAGCAGATATGATCAGCAGTATGGAGAGCACGCACGTATTACAATAGATGAGCTTTCGAAGTTACAAGGAGAGCTTGCACGGCCCTGTTGTTTGGAGTATCCCACATTCATCTCTTTACACTGGGACATACACTATAATCTCTCATAACGTCGGCGAATATATTTGTTATTAATAATTAATAAATATTAAAATTGTTTGTATCATATATAGTATATTTCACTTTCATTTGTTCATTTCCATGACTTGCTGTTTGTATCGCTCCACCTCCGATGTTTTGTTTGTCATATGTTTATTCACCGGTTGTTCGTTATTGTTGTCATATGACCTACTTTCGTTGAGTACTTTGGCACTGTGTTCCAGTGCTTTTGCTCGCAATGCCGCTATGCTGCTGGATCGTATTTCTTCAGGGTCTCTATCTCCTACGGTCGATGAATTCTCATTTTCAAGGTCGTCGATATCCAATGTTTCGTCGTCGTCTTCTTGTTCCTTTAACTTAGCTGCTGCTTCTATTGATTTCTTGTGCATCCCTGAAAAGTATACACCGAAACCAACGTTATTAATATTTAAGTATATTTATATAATCAGTAACGACGTTATTTGAACTACACTATATTTATATCATTTTAGTTACTTCTCTGTCTGGTATTTATTATAATATACATTATTTATTTATTATAATTTATAGAATTAATGTTGCTACGTCACAATCAAAAAATAAATCAATCGTACTTTCTTGTTTTTTTCCTGAACCTTTCCAAAATCTGTCAAACTGCCGCACATAGAGTAGCACTGGTTGTCCCGACACCCGCGTTGCTTTCGCTCGGCATCGGAATATGCAAATCAATAATCAATAACTAATCGGTAAACAATTTACCTAAGAGCCAAGGAGCACAGGAATCACCCGTTTCTTCTGGTTCTTTTAAAATACTCTCCGGTAGAGGTAGTGAGTGTCGGACCATGGCACCGTACAAACCATATTCAGCCATGACACTGCTACGTCCCCACTTCTTTTCCTTCTTGCGCCATTTAGCACGTCTGTTCTGAAACCATACCTGTGTAGTAAATGGAAAAACGATTTAAAATTTCGTCAACATATCAACTATGTTTTATTTTTTGATTACACTACATTGTTTTAATCCGAACGCGTGTTTCATGGCGACTGTAGCATTTTAAATTTATTTCATGTGATTATTCGATTTTTATAGTATGCAGATGATATATGCCCACTTGCGTTATCAAGTTTAGTATTACTTTATGCTAAAATATTTTTTCTAAATATAATTAACATCATAAATAGCTTCAGAAAATGTTTTTGTTTATCTCCACAAAGCTTTGGGTGATGTTTGCAAATCCCCCGACGTGTCATATATCATAATGTAGATGTATTCAGCACACTAACACATTATGAGCAAACCTTCCTAATAACACAACTTTGTTAAAAAAACAACTGTATTATATTTTCTGCAAACTCTTTCGTTAAAAAAGAGGCAGTTGAAGATAACGGTGATCGTACGAGGGTTACAATTGGGCGTATTAAACGACAGACGAAACTATTTCATAATTTTATGATTCATGCTGAGACCCTTCTGATATTTAACCCAAATTATCGTCGTGGTAGTTTGCCGGCAATTTTTAATAATTTTACCGTTAATAAGTTCCCGACCAGAAATTACAGCGTTTTAGAAGATATAATTTGGCTGTAATTTCAGTTTAAGAATTGCCAGCCTAGGGCTTAAGTTAGGGTCTTTTGCTATCCGATGTTATTATTCTCTCTTTTATTTGAGTAAACGAGGCGTCTTGCTGGTAACTCTCTCAATTACATGTCTCACACTGACACTGACTGTGGATTGGGGTTTTGTTCCGCCGCCAGTCAGTTATGTCCAATTATGTTAAGACGACCGACTACAATACGGCATCGTCGCACTGCAGTTCAGTTGCCTGGGTGCACGCTTCAAGTGGCAATGCCACCCGAGGCTGCTAGGCTTAATTAAGCCCACCCAATTTGCGATAGTAGTCAAAAAGTCATCGCTGTGCAATGTTGCTAACGTTACTCCCATTTTAAAAGTCATAACACATATTTTCACTGGCATTGGGTTACGCAGCGTACTAGTTACAGACTTGTCTTTCTTGTGCATTATGTCGTTTCATGGCGATGGTAATAATGCAAATAAGTTACCTTGTCGGGATACGAACATTTTCAACGAAGGAACTTGTCAATATTAATATACAATGTGGTGATATTTCCATCTAACCACCTACTTCTAAATAACAAAGGGAACGGCATATCTCACATTGATAATGCATAGCAGTCTGGGAGAATAAATTTAAGTTGCAGAACGTTAACTAGGTGGTAGTATATTAGTAATGCTGTTACCATGGTGATGTTCTCGGATAGCAGTGTCTGTGATATATATATATAAGTTGTCAATTTAAACGTACCACATACATATCTATATCAAATGAAATGAACCACTAAAGCATTCTCCAATTTGTATTTTGCAATAATATGTTTTTCCGTCACGGTGTGTCGCTGACCGGTGTCACGTGCGACATTTGAACAAATTGCCGACGTTATTTCACGGAAAGAAATTTGTGAATATTGTTGTATACAATTCAAAATGCAACAATATATTAATCTCAGCAGTGACGACGCCAACAGCCATTTTCTGAGATAAATCTAAATCCGCACATGCACCATTTGGTGGCAATTTTCCTTTTCAATGCGCGTTTTGTTCGCTTCACGGAAGAAAATGGCGGCGTTTTAGTAAACTTGTCCATTTCACGGCCATAAAGGTTATCAAAAGATATGTTGTTAGAGTATCTGTCGACTTGTAAATCCCCCACTAATCTCCAATCCAGATAAGTACATATAATAATCAAGCTCGGGGTGCATATAGCAACGTAGCTGTTTGCGCCATCAGAAAGAGTTCAATGTGTATGGACGTCAATTCCCCTACTCTAAGAAGGAGCAAATGCAATATAGTATGATTTTTTTATATGTGTTTTATTTTCAATGGAAATTTATATTTATATTTATCGAAAACTATCCGAGATTAATGAAGATACATGACTAATTGTATTAAAAGGCGTCTAGGTTGGAAACAAGGTATGATCGTTAGTTTTAATCAAATGCATATAAAAAGACACATGCAGTCATTTTTTTTAAATGGAACAGTGTGAAATTATGAGAATGACAATTTTTTGAAAAGATCTTCTATACATGTGTTTTTAGATGGATATAACAGCCAATTACGGGAACGTGGCTGCTCAAGTATCGTTTTCTTTCATTGACAACGAGGACTACCGGTGCTCGTTTCATCTACACAAAAGGCTCTACATATTTCGTGTTTTTCCCTGTATCAGTGTTTAATGACCCGTTACAATAATTGCAGTTCAATCCTTACTTCGTTATGCTGTGAGTAGCGTAGTTCCTTTTCATAATTCACAACCCAGGCTTTCCTCGCAGTAGCTTCTCCCCTTGCTGGCTACATTTCTCTACGTGACACACTAATTAGTACCTCGCCAAGTAAGCACCCTAGAACATCCAGCGTCTTGCAAATTGAAAAGGTCCGTGTCGCAATCAGTCTTTCATACAGCCCTGTATAAAAACCGTTATCGGCACGTTCGTGTTCGCCAGCGTTTTCCCCCCTTCATTTCAAGGGTTGCTTTTTTGTTCGTATCCTGCTAACTAGCTACGAATACCGCAAACCTGTTGTTATTCCGTTCAAATATATCAACTAAACCAAATTGTATTGTATTATTAGTATTGCCCTACTGTGCGTGGATAAGTCTATTTTATCGAGTCTGGGCTGGCAGTTGTGGTCAGTTCGCAGAAAAGATATTCTCGTTGTGAGAATAATAAATTCAATTTGTTGTTTTTACTTGACTCTAAGAGGACATCATTAGAAATATAGCTACAATAGATAAAACTATTTGCGAGCGAGAACGATGTTTTTATTCGAGTCGAAAATTATTATAATAACAGTAACCAATGAAAAAAATAAACTTCACAATACTAATATGTCTGCGGGGATAATAACAATAGATTTTTATTGTTTGGAGAACAAACAAATCAAAGTTACTGCTATTGTTCTGTAATTATAACAACAACGAAGACTGGTCATCCTTGGCAGACAAAGCGAGAGCCGTGGTGTGATATACTGCTGATAGTTACACAAATAAACTATGTTAATGTTAATGCACATGTTATTTTCAGCGCCACTCACCGATTACCGCCACGTCGTAGAGCATGTGACAATCAGGTGTTGATTAAAGTGTTAATAAAAACAATAAAACGATTATCGATTTCACGCCTGTATGACGCGTCACTTTACCAGGCGTGAGATGAAAGACAATTTTAAAAACCCGTAAACGAATAAAGAATGTCAAAAATATATTGTATCAAAATTGGGATGGTACAGTGCTAACGTTATCATCTTTGTATAGAGAGGGAAACTCCTAGATATTCAAATTGTTTACTGTAACGAGTAAAAAACATGCATAATGTCGAATAATTTGACATAACACTTTTATAACCCTTTTTCAAAAAATCGTTTACTATGTTTTAGTAGTTCACTGAATTCACCGCGAATTTGTACATGGTCTACTCTGAGTAATGAGAAACTCACAGAATTCACCATGAATTTGTATACGGTCTACACAGAGTAATGAGAAACTTACAGAATTCACCATGAATTTGTACACGGTCTACCCTGAGTAACGAGAAACTGACCGAATTCACCATGAATTTGTACACGGTCTACTCTGAGTAATGAGAAACTCACAGAATTCACCATAAATTTGTATACGGTCTACACAGAGTAATGAGAAACTTACAGAATTCACCATGAATTTGTACAAGGTCTACTCTGACTAATGAGAAACTCACCGAATTCACCATGAATTTGTACACGGTCTACTCTGAGTAATGAGAAACTCACCGAATTCACTATGATTTTGTACAAGGTCTACTCTGAGTAACGAGAAACTCACAGAATTCACCATGAATTTGTACACGGTCTACTCTGAGTAACGAGAAACTCACAGAATTCACCATGAATTTGTACACGGTCTACTCTGAGTAACGAGAAACTCACCGAATTCACCATGAATTTGTACAAGGTCTACTCTGAGTAATGAGAAACTCACCGAATTCACCATGAATTTGTATACGGTCTACTCTGAGTAACGAGAAACTCACCGAATTCACCATGAATTTGTACAAGGTCTACTCTGAGTAATGAGAAACTCACCGAATTCACCATGAATTTGTACACGGTCTACTCTGAGTAATGAGAAACTCACAGAATTCACCATGAATTTGTACACGGTCGACTCTGAGTAACGAGAAACTCACAGAATTCACCATGAATTTGTACAAGGTCTACTCTGAGTAATGAGAAACTCACCGAATTCACCATGAATTTGTATACGGTCTACTCTGAGTAATGAGAAACTCACAGAATTCACCATAAATTTAAGTCGGGTTACCAACAAACTATACGCCGTATTGGCTAATTTTATCACTTGGCATATCCCATAATTCAATTCGCGTGTCCCTATAAAGAGGTGACACGTGTTTAGACGTAACCTTTCGGACCATTTCTTAGCAACCTTGAATTCAATTTCATCCCAATCTATTGCGCGTTTTCAGTTTGTTCAGATGAATTTATTTTCAGTAGTCAGAATGTTGTTGAATCGCTGTCATTTCCTAAATGCTAAGCCTATGACTGGTTGCGACCAGGGCGAGGCGAATAGACGCGTGTCAATTTGTATTAGTGATGCACATCAAGTGTACTGTAGACGTGAATGTACGGCTAGAGACTGATAAGCGACCTTAAAAACATTGTCAAACACGATCATTGAACATTACATCCATCCGCCGATTAAAATTGCTGAGTAATTCGTTGTCAAACGAAATGAGATCCTCTTAAGCGAGACTCGATGATTGGCGATTCACACCCTATCGCCGAGTGATTGTCAACAGTATAGGACTGTATGTATTCACTATAAGCTGCAATATACCGAGAGTGGTAAAAAAGTAGCATTTCAATTGATGTATATTTAGTCATTTACTAACTTTAACAAAAGTTTTCTTTTTTTTTTTCGTGTAGTGAACATCGCAGTGTCGATCTATTCAAGCGTTCTGTTCTGCTTACTTTTACGCATGGTCGAACCGTTTGGTTAAAGCCGATTCCAGACAACTTTCAAATGAGCTCAATTTTGCAAATTAAAAGGCATAAATTTCTTTAATTTTCGCAGAGAAACTTAATGCAACCCCAGGGAGATTTTTTCCAGGTAGTTAAACAGCGAGTGGTATCTCTTTTCATATCGTAGGATGACGACGGGTCGTATTGGGAGTTTTTTAAACAGAGGGATTAGTACGTTCGATAAAAAAAAACCTCGGTTTATCCTCCACAAACACACCGGCAGTTTGTTAAGAGTAAATCTCTACTGAGCGAGTACACATATGTATGCATATCCAGGGGATTAAGGCGATGACGATTTATTAAAAATAATAACCAATACTTTTAACAAATTGGCTGGCACTTCAACTTAACAGATTACTCCTTGTCCCATTGAACTGTGCATACAGCCTGGTAATATATGGTCTCTTCAGACAAGGGACGCTATGCTCGAAATGTACATGGCATAATATGGATGAACAATGCGACGCACACAGTACAGCCGATGTACATTGATGCGGTAATATATCTAGTATATTTGTTTTTCTTCCACCGTACCTCATAACCATATAAGGATTTGCCGCACATGTTTTTCGCAATGGTGAGCGCGTGTTGCACAATAACATAGATTTGAAGTCGAGGGATTCTATCAGGTTCATTTCGACGTTGGCGCAGTGTATGAAAGACGGACGCCCCCAAGACGGAAGCCTCCCCTAACCCAACACACTTGTAGGAAATTGTACGAAATATATACATAACTATATTGTAACCAATTTAACCACCGTAATTTTACCATGAATACGGGTAACTGATCTACTAAAATGGTATAAACTTGAGGGCATTTGATAGTTCAAGATTAGAAGGTTGATAGTTCAACTATACTATTATATTATTGTTTTTATTCTGTGCAACATTCGTTTTATTTGGAGCCATATTCAACTCATACAAAATTTGTATGTGAAAAAAAATCATACCGAAAAAGCATTGATAAAATTGTCTTCGTATTGAATATAGCCTCTACTCCCACGCTCTAGTCGACTGTACGCTATTGGCCTGTTTATTATCGACTCGCGAGACACGAGGAAATTGTGTTTGGATGAATGACGTCATTTATGATTGACATTTCTAAATAGTTTAATTGCCTGCAGAAATAATATTTACGCGTGAATCGATCCATTGTTACCAGGTATTCAATGGCTAATTGCTTATAATTAGTACTAGCTGTCTTTCCAATTAACCGACCCTCAATTAAAAAACCGTAATTGTATAATCAAATTAAAAAGTAAGATTTGTTGAATGTTTATTTCTGTATAGAAAATTGTCCAGCCTTTTGAATAACAGATTGTAAAGTGGGTATTATTTGATTCCAGTGCCAGACATTTATGTCGATAACAGGTATTTCTCCGTCATGTACAAGCATATTTGTCTCTTCACTTGTGCTAACACCGGTGACACCCAGCGGACTGAATATTACAGTGGTCAGAATGTTTGAGACACTAGACAATACCTTGCTGTCATTTTCTCTCAAACATAACACGTCGGCAGATGAGTCAGATTACTAGTAGTACTCAGGCTTGTTATATAGCCACAACACAGAACCGACGTATTGAAGATTACTTACATCTGTGATTTATATAACTAGCTACTATTTGCAGTAAACACGGAGTAACTGTCTCACAGAACAGAATCGATAGATTATTCGAGTCGTCGTGTAACTCATACATTATACAGATTATATGACCGTACGTAACGTACCTGAATGCGATCTTCTGGTAGATCTGTCCTCAGCGAAAGCACTTCCCTGGCATACACGTCGGGGTAGTGGGCTTCGTTAAACGCCTTTTCTAATTCTTCCAACTGGAAACTTGTAAAAATTGTCCTTTGGTAAAAAAAAAAAATCGGCGATTAAAACATGTACATGTATTAGATCCACAATGTCATGCGATATATATTATTACGGAAATCTAAGTTATATCCGTCTATAGTTTTACAGTTTACAATTTACAGTACTATAAGAATAACTCCATTGCCGTATTCAACATCTCTACTATTTTATTGTATTACAGTGGGTATTTGTGTTTATACTACACGTGGCCAGTCTTAAATTGAGGCTTAATATCATTCCAATATAAACATACGTGTTTATGTGCAGCGTAAACAAATTGAACAGATTTCTTTTACTGTCCAGCACATTGATAGATTCACACATGTCTTAGATTGACTGGATTTTAATCACGGCATGGTATTTAGTTAGCTGAGCAGTGACAAAGGCAGCGTTGCTCTGGCGTCCGTGGACGAGGACGTCGCTCATTGAATGTTATCTAGCCGAACGTTTCGAAATAAAAGCAAAAAACGTGACAAATGATAAAAGCGACCCGTGAATCTCCATGCGTAATCGCTAGGCGAGAATGAAAATGTTGCTTTTCAAATAGAGACTATGTTGGAAATTAGTGCCAGCCGAAGAAGCGTTAGAGGCGTTCAATTAGGTGGTATGTCAGCGATAGGGATTGAAGACCAGGGGCTACTGATTAGTCAGCCTGCTACCCCACCACTACCGCATTAGAAAGATTAATTCAATCTACGAACTCCGCCTAATACTAACAGTTATAGATAGACCAGTCATCATATGTGATAAACGATGCTTAGGGGCAGTACTGTCAATCATCCCGTATAGTGACTGGAAATGTAAACCTTAAGAAAGTTCAAAATAAGCAACTAGCTAAGTCTCCATTTCATTTTCCATCGTCATTATAATATTTATTTCTTCCACAGTTTTGAATCACCATGGTGATATATTTTCAGCATTTTTGCTCAACACGTCAGTTTGTATGAAAACTGGAGAGCGAGAGAGTGTGCCTGGATATCATGGAATCGGTTTCGTACTGCGATCATCACCGACGCGTAATTGAATGGGTGGGAATTGACATGCCGTGTGTGTATCATTTACCTATGTCGTCTTTTCTTCTTCTTTTTGTTCTGTTTACAGTTGTTCATCAATGATCGACTCATGAATCCATTCCTGTCACTTGAACTATCGTCATCGTCTGCAAAATCAACCATAACAGCTGATAATTGCACAAGCAAGAATCAAAATTATTAACGCACTTCATAAATTGTTCTGTAAATTATAACCTAGCGTAAATCGTACCCTTTGCTCCCATTTGACGCGAATATTAATTGAAATATATATTGATTTACGCAAAGCTGTCGTAAATTGGTAGAATGGTACGTGACGCGACACAAACGAAGCAATCATTACAATATAATCAATGGCCAATAACAAATGATATGTTAAAACTGTTGTTTTTAATATTGAGTTAACATTATCTGATATTGTTACAATCGTTGACAAGCTTGTCGATTTATTTTTAGTACAACTCAAAAGTTTCGCTTCACATCTTTTGGCGCTCCATCGTTTTCCCGGAAAAATAGTTTACACAGTTGTTGCCATGGACATTGAGTTGTTCTTGTTTGCTAAGATTGAAAAGGAACTGCCCAGCAAACGACATTGGTGGTAGAAATAGATACACACGCAAAGTGATTAATTTGTCAACGTTTGTCACCGCGCTGACTGCTGTAGTGCTTTTGACGAGGACAGATGTTTAAAGAACAAAGTCAGTACAACTTGTGTTCAATTGTGTTTGTTTTCAATAACCCATAGGGCAATGTGTTGGGTGCAGTAAAGTAACAGATGTAGTAACGAGCGATTGTCTGCTTTCGATGCGTGGTTACCACATCGTTATATTAATACCGCCACCGTGGCCGGCCGTACGACCTAATATTGCGTCACTTCTAGAACTTAAACCGAAATTAGAAGAACATTCACTAAAATTACCCACTGAGACCTACTGTGAAGATTATATTTTGTTTTTCCTTGACAACCATGATGTCAAAATGTTAGATAAATTACATGGAAAAACAATCAAATTGCCATATCAGGTGCTGTCGGATTTCCTTTACATGTTGACAAAGCAGTGATCAAAGTACGTTTTGAAATTTATTTCCAACCTAATATTGTGTGTCATCGTATATTTTCAGCCTAGTCCAGGGTGTCAACGTCTATTTGTAGCCTAATTCTGGGTAACATTGTCTGTTTCAGCCTAATTCTGGGTAACATCGTCTGTTTCAGCCTAATTCTGGGTAACATCGTCTGTTTCAGCCTAACTCTGGGTAACATTGTCTGTTTCAGACTAATTCTGGGTAACATCGTCTGTTTCAGCCTAATTCTGGGTGTCATAGTCTATTTAAAGCCGAATACAAGGTATCATTGTCAAATAATTACAGTCACATATCATTGCAGCTTTGACGATGTAACATCGTGTAACACCATGGAGAAAGTTGGATAGTGGTCATATTTCAAGTTAGCCGTGAAAGTAAATTGCCCCGAACCCCTGTAGTCGTCACCCTGTTTCTGATTTAGATAAGTAACTGGAATTATTTTCCATGCAGTGCGTCGACAGCATATTTGCTTAGAGCCTCCTAATTTGATTGAGAAAGTTAATTTTAAAATTGGGCTGTGTTAACGGTATCAATTTAATTTTCAACCAAATAGCTTATATATTTTATTTGATTAGAGAACTTTGCAATATCATAACGACGGGTGCATGGCTTGGGAGAACATAACAGTTGAATAATATCTACTAGGGATAGTCCGACACTCACAAATAAATGTAGGTGTGTCGGTAAAGTAGATTAGCCAATCCATCCCGTGAGTGAGGCAGTCGCGTTTCTCGGGATTGACGCGTATGGTGTTAGATTTAACGACCACTTGATAATAATCATCATACATTGAGTTCATCGCGATTTATGAAGTTTAGTTATTTTAACAATTTTAGAAGCTTCTGTCGCGCATGCGACCAACTAAATAACGTGACAAGCGAACTATGTCAAGCATCTCAGTATTGCCGTCGAGCAACATGGTAAGCGACATTCTAATATAAGGACACTCGACTATGATCAAGAAACGAAATTCTTAGTACATTGTCCGTCATTGTCTTACGTTCTTTTTAAATCACGTTTCCAAATAATTTTCGACCACACACAACGCTTTTACTCAGATTTTTTTAGAAATAAAAATAATCAAAAATATTAATTACAAATTTAATGATTTCAACTATCACTACTAGTTATAATCATATATGATATTTATTAGATACAAATTAATCAGCTATGTCTAACAATATTGACGCAACATTTGATTTAAACAAATCCTTGCTTAGAATTGGCGTCTTCCCGTAATCGGTGGTCAGGAAAGAATGTCTGATTTTTTTTCACTCTCATAATATCACATTCCTAGTTGTAATTGACATTGCTATGGCAACACTCATCGGTTTCCAGGGAAATTAGCTGCTATTTTACCCCGCACAGATCATTGTTATTTTATTCTTGTTTTGGTTCGTTTTTTTTCATAAAATAGTATTAAAATATCCTCTCGTTAACGCCGTGAATTATGTGGTCAATATACTCGCTGTACTAAGGTTTCTAAAGACAGCTTGTAATATCAACTCGTGGTATGCTTCAAATTGGTTAATTTGTTTTTGTGGTCACGATCCAGTTATTATTTGGAAGCAAGAGACAGAAGAAAACCGCCCAATTTAGTACGTATGCCGAGCTGCATAATCCAACATCGTTAGCTAGCTTCAATTCAGTCTATTTCCATTCTGCACGACGCCTGTTAGCGGTTCATCTTCGATGCACCGAAATGAGGTGATATTCCGTAGTAATTATTAATATTTGTTTCCCATCTCCTTGATTGAAAGCGGGCTATCTCTTTTGGTTTCATATAGTGTTAATTTTCTAATAAACATACATGTTTTATAAGGTGTTGTATTTCATTTATGTCCAGATACAAGACCTTATCTCGCCTAGCGTGTATTGAATGAATGCTAACTTTCTCCTCCACGCCAAATGATGATTGGCTCCGGAGCTTAGGGTGGCTGGCTAACTCGTCTGGGAAAAGCTCAACAATACACTCATAATTAATAGTAATATTATAGAAATTAACAGTTTCTGATTTTCGTCGCGGTCAAATTTATCTGAAGCGTGGTGTATGCATGTAAGCAGTGCAAACTATGTTCTCACACGCTGTATGCTTTGTGTGTGCTGTGTTGAGGGTACATATCCATCGTTATCGATTGATTTCATCACTCACTGAAATTTGTAATTCGTGAATGCATTTAAAAAATCCATGATCGTGTGTTGATTCATTTCTCGTTAGAGTATTGCAACGCAACAATTCCAGTAAATCGATGCGTTTGAGTCAACGGCTGATATCGACACATTGGATTTGTTCGGCTGATATCAACACATAGGATGTGTTCGGTTGATATCGACACATTGGATGTGTTCGGCTGATATCAACACATAGGATGTGTTCGGTTGATATCGACACATTGGATGTGTTCGGCTGATATCAACACATAGGATGTGTTCGGTTGATATCGACACATTGGATGTGTTCGGCTGATATCAACACATAGGATGTGTTCGGTTGATATCGACACATTGGATGTGTTCGGTTGATATCAACATATTGGATGTGTTCGGTTGATATCGACACATTGGATGTGTTGACACGCGTAAATAGCTATTTTAAAGGAGTCTCATTCCAAATTACAGATAGTGCGTCCGGGTAAAATGTAAAATACCTACAAGTTTGTATTTGTCAGTAACTTTGAACTTTGTTATTAAGTGTGCCGCAATAGAAAACAATTTTAAGCTAATATAACAAACCAGGTGCCTGGAACAAAGCTTTTAGATGTACTGATGAGATGGACGACACGTGAGTATCAACCCCAACGAGGTGAATATGTGCGTAAATTGTTAAAGGAATGCTGGTTAGTCAACCGAAGCACGCAAAAAAAACCGTCAGCTATAAAAGTCTAACGCGAAAAGTGAACACAATTTAAAAATTACACACCAAAGTGAACAAATTGCTTAAATGGTGGGCCTTGTAAGTGAATAAGTGACTATAGCTTGCTTAGTGGAGCATGGGCGATATGTGGATGGATGGACGTGTGTCACGAAACACACCCGGCTTGAAATATACCCATAAAAGAAAATGTGCTATTTCGGCGTGATTACGTTTACATCTATGTTAGCCGTAATTCACCGAGAGGCTGCCGAATTCCTCGTACTGACAGAAACAGTGTTGTTAGTCAATGTTATTTATAATGTTGTAGATTTCTCAACTGATAACGGCAACAGTCGGCCAAAACGTAGACGGATCCTCAAAAATGGCACAATTTCCATTAAAAATCAAGCACGTGATAAATATAATCTGTTTTGAACAAGTACTACTTAATACAACAACTGATTCTATATGTACTAGCTATATACAATAATTTCATCAATACTTGCAGTTTGTTAATAACACGAGGGTACAGTGACTTCCACACTAACTAACTGTAGGGTAAATTCAATCAAGTTTTAGTTTGTACATCGTTGTGCTAATTACAATAACAAACTGCTCAACGTAGTGAGTGCTTGACGCCGACGTATCGTCGCAGTCTCGCTAAATATTTGTAAAATTTAGTGTCGTGTTTTTCTGCTGACTTGATTCACTCTAAAAGGCACCAATTAATGTATAAATGCTTTGTCTATCATCTGCAACTGTCAAGAGTGCATTGTCTGCCAATTGGCCGAGGCTGCATTGCGAGTCAGTCAAACACGGCCACTCTAGGCGCGGTGTTAAATTGCGTGTGCGTTCGTTACTTGAGTATGCCTACGCTGTACATCATAGGAGCTATGGATTCTGAATATACTATATTTTCCATTTAATTATGAATCTTATTGCAGAGATAGTGTAGGTATGATGTATCTGGCTGTTAACGCCAAATACCCATTCATTTATTGATCTTTACAAATGACACCTAATACATTTCCTGATCATAGTAATCGCTTTGATAATTGCATATCCCCTGCTTGGCCTGGGTCGCGTATTGAATTGCCCTTTTCCTTGCATTATCGTAATTTTTCAATAATACATTTATTGGCAAAGGATGCTTTTTAGATTCTCGTGTAAAAGGCAAAATTGCGAACGCGGTGTTTGTAATTTATTCTTTTTGAAGTTGGTGGTATCTGTAATATTTGACAAAGCTGTGTGCCTTTGTGAAGTCACTCATACGTTGCCAATGGATCAGTAGTCGCCCCGCGTTTCGCCTATACACTGTCAATCACGCGTTTTGACAAACGCTCCTGTCTGGTTTCTTTATCTTTTAAAACATTGAGACTTCAATCAAAAAGTGTTAATTTTACAATTACTGGGATTAAACTGGAAGGCCTACTTTGCCATCCCAATATCTGTAATTCAATTTTAACAAATGGCTTCTCAGTCAAAAAGAAACGTAAAAAAAACTCTCAGCAAGGATTATTAGATTTGGAGACAAAATAAAAGTCGGTGGCTTTCAGCAAGCAAACAGTTCAAATAAAGCCTAGACAAATACATTTCACTTATGAGTGTTGTACTTGCTCCTTACTCGTGCAGAATTCCGAGTCAGTCATAACGGGGTTATCACTGTAGTCTCCTGGCCCCATCTTAAATTACAGAGCCCGGGATTACATGCAGAAACTCGGAAATTGGCAGGCTACGCAATTTCATCGCCAGTCACCAATAATCCACCGTACTTATTAAATTTGAGCAAAACATCGCTGACGGATACAGACAGTGTTTCAATAATTGATCGCAAATTGAAAGCAGTTTGGCGGACAACTCGTTTTGAAGCGCTCTGTAATGCAGTTGGTGGTTCTCTGTAAATTCCCACTCGCTCAGAAGCAAGTTACCAAAATGAATGGGCTGCGATCTTAAAGATGGGCGAAGCAAGCCAGCTATCTATGTTATGAGACGGAGTACCAGGCCTGATCTCTCTCCTATTCACACTGCTATATTAATCTATTAACACGTCCTCAAGGAACATAATAAGGTTTTCTGATCGAAATTAAATGCCTTGATGAAAAATCCGCCTTTTCTAAAGACCCATAAAATATAGACGACATGGATACAATGTTATATACGTTAAAAGGGAAGACGCGCTCAATCCTTTTTAGCGATATTAAAATATGTAGAGCATAAAAGAGATACTTGTAGCCCATGGGAAATGTTATGATTAGCTTTTGACTACTTCGTCAATGATTTTTTACCCACTGCGCCGATTTTTCATCTCTTAATTAGGTGTTTTAAGTTAGCACCTTATTTCCCTTTGGCCACCGTATCGGGGAAAATAGCCCTTTCAATTCAGTATCTGATTTACTTATTTTTAAAAATCACGAGAGATGTAAAATTTGTATTTTATCGAAGGAGATTAATCCCTTCAGAACACCCTCCGGTTTCAAGTTTGTTTTCAATGTCCGCACTTCACTGCGTGTTCGGGTCGCGCTATTGACTTCTGTACATGGGCGTACTGCGAAGAAAGAATCACGACTGTGTATTCAAAATTAACTACTACTTGTTTTCTATGACATCGCTTTTTAAATATTCTGTCAGTCAGAGCAGAGTTTATTGTAGCCCTGCAACAAAGGAGGTTGGTCGGGAATACAGGGAACATAGGTATAGTGCGCGGACACCCACATAACTGTATTCAGACGAGCTTCATTTTAACTGTTGGATACTTTGCCCTAAAGTCAACCCATCTTTTGTTAAAACAATGAGTAGATACCTCACTCTTCAAGTAACTATAGCCATTGGCAAAGAGTCGGGCTAATTGTGCGGAAAAGTGGGCAGGAAACTTTTAAATTGATCGGTTTCAACAAACTTAGAAAAGTATTGATTTCTCTCGTTTAAACATGCAAGTTTTCGTGCCAAGTGCAACTAACTATATATCGATAAACTACTCACTAGCAAGTTTATGGTTAGCATCAGAACGCTGTTCAAAATAAAAAAAAATGAATATGGTTTCTTACCTTCTTGCATGCTGTGATGCGGTGGTGTGTGTAAACTCGTAGTTCCAACAGGCGGACTACTGTTCATTGGATTATGTATACCTAGTGTCGGCATGTAACTGGGTTTGGTAAAGTATACAGAGGCTGGACTCATAATCGTATCAGAAAGACAGCGAGCGACATGTGCACTCTGTACCGCCGCCGCTGCCGTGCTTAGTGCTACTGACTGTCGGCCACTCGTCCGATCTTCACACGGCGACGGAGTCAGTCCCAATAGTTCATTGATAGCGAACGGTGATCGCTGGGCAACGTGAGAAGTCGAAGTGGGCAGCGAGAGAGCTGCCGGAGCGGCAACTCGTGTTCGTGGGTCGATGAGATGGTGATTCATGGTCCCTCCAGTCATGCTAGGCCGATCGTCAAAGTCTAAATGAATCTGTAGTGTTCCTGTGAAGTGTACAAGCTTCTTTTCTCGACCGACTTGACTATACGGGGTGCATCAAACTACTGGTAGTCGCTTTCTCGGCTCACTCCTTAAATTTGTTGTGTTGATCATGCACATTACCTCGACCAGTAACCTACGGCTAGGCAGTTGTAATTAGCTATTGTCTAACGACCAATTTGCCTCCTTCTTAATTGAAATATCAATACATTGACCTGCCAATCACATTGATATGAACATGCCTGCCGTCTGACGTCGAAGTCTCATTAGTAATGTACCGTGGGGTTCCTCCAATCGTACGGCTTCTTCTAAAAGTGACGTCACATGTTAAGTTTCACTCCCTTCGTTAAATGATAGGCGTTCATCGATGAATTGCAAATCATCTTGAGGTGAATTGATTTGCAGTGACCGTGCGTGTATTGGCGATTATGGCTACGGCTGACTACCCATCATCTATTCCCACTATAGCGTCAAGTATTGTAACGGCCTTTTAATTACCACGCTTAATTGTTTTGTCCCGTTATTGACTGGAAATTTTAATGCGATAATTGCAAATCAAACAAAATAACTCGACTCTGGCACGTTTCCGTAGTCTAACTGGGATAGCAGTGTACATGTATATATATTAGCAGATTGACCATTCGTGCATCGACACTGCCATTGAGGTTTTAATGTTAAAATGCAACTCGTTTGCAACTTATTTCGTTCGTTGAAATATATATTGGTCGCTCCGAATTGCCATAATGTACAATACACGGGAGTCTAATGTAACACCTCATAAAAACAATTTACAAGTAACACAAATAAATAAAACACGAAACTATTTCTCAGCGATGTATCTCGATTTAAACATTGGTATCAGTGAATGGAGTGTAGCAAAATATTAGTGAGTATACGAATAAATAAAGTCTTGCCGTGTGGTGGATGGACGGACGTGGTCGCTTAAGATGGAAATTGACAAGAAAGAAGCGTGTGTTTGAAACCTGACATTTTGAATCGCTTCATTGTAATCAGAAATCTAGCTTATTTTGTTAAGAAGTTGGTGCTGTAATTAAAACACAAGCGATTAGTTGACAAGTGCCGATCACTGAGATTCCTTAATAACAAAGGTCACAACAGTGCTGTATTTCATTCACTTTCGCCTTCCCGCGGTCAGACATTGTACTTACATTGTGTTGGTATGATAGGAGGGGCGTACCATAGTGAGTGTGCATCAATTACTGTACAATCTTAAGCCAACTAACAAGTCACTGTGCCCTTTATCTGCCACTTGATGACATCTCCGATGACAGACAGGCAGACCACGACAAGACTAGACCACAACGAGACATACATATCATCGAGCCACGTCTCAGCAGCAGGCATTTCACTTGAGTTGTTCGTTTAGGTTTGCTGCTAATTTACATATGCAATTGACAAGAAGACTCCTGTAAGCGACGTGTGTGGGAAACGTGAACGAATCACAGCGTCTATCGCCATGATATGGCTTCATGATTGACCATCATCTGCGGCTCAAATATAGCGACCCTTCCATAATTCAATATATACCAATATCCACCAATAATCAATCAACTTGTTTGGTTGTATCACTCAAATGAGAGTAAAAAGGTAGATTTGTTCTGGTATGATAGTGTTACTTTTCTAGTTGAGGCGAATGCCGCCCCGTCAATTAACACTATATGGCCTGCCAGCATGGAAGTTGTAATACAAGTAGCATAGCTCCAGGCCACGCACTCATCAACATTGTTAGTGTACAGCGCCATAATTTAATCTCCAAATTACTGCAGCATGCAGCACCCGAAAAGTTTCCCCTGGCTGCTATATACGATAATGCAATACTAGTAATTGTTTGTGCGTTACATTCACCGGAAGTCAGTACTACCGGATATGCATGTATTCCGTTGCAAAATGTCTATCGTTTGACTCTAATTGTGGAACTAAATTGGTGAAAATTACAATAATTTGTTTATTGGCTAAAGATCACATTTCGCCCAGTACTAATGAGCAGGCTCCCAGAAGAGCGATTTGCCCTTGTATTAGATGAGCGTCTACTCGCTACATGATTGGCCGAGATATTCCCATTAGCTGTCGGAACGTACAATAGGGGACGACGCAACGGCGATGTGCAATATATTCACACCTTTACACTTTCGCGATTGTGTTTTTTTATTAGTTACCAAGGAAACTATTGTGCACATATAATGTTAATCACACATGCGTATAAGGTCAAAGTTATTATAACTAATTGGTCGACGTTTGATTGGCAATTGAGTAATAGATGTAACAATTACAATAAAGTGAATGCAACGTCGTATAGTTGCAATTGTTGAAAAAGATAAGTTTATTATAATATTGAATTCAGTCTATTGCAGGCAGATTTTTAGCCTCTTCTCCTGGCACATTAGATTTGATAATGATTTATTTTCACGATGGAAATAAGTCAATAATATTATTGATTACTTCATCATAATGATTATCATCAGCAAACTTTATATCATATCGTATTATATATCACAGCATATGGCATCATATCGTATTATATCATATCTCATCTCATATCACATGATTTATCATATCACAGTGGTTATACCGCATCTTCTCAGATCACATGAGAGTTCACATCAGAGCACTGAATGGGGCGAAAATAGAATTCAGTGAAAGCGAAGTAGAGAGAAAATACACGAAAGAAAGTTACTTGTTAACACTACTGAACAACAATCTCTCTCATTAAATTAAATAAATCTAATAAAATAAAATAAGAAAGAACAAATGTAAAAAGAAACGTGAGAGTTGTGGCTTATACGAGTTGTAATGACACGACATGGAAAGAACACATCAACACACACGTTAGCAAATTGCCTTAAATTGGAACATGATGTATCTAGTAGTAGTACGTCGATGGTGGATCTCCAGGCGAATTAGCCCCGCATTTGCTTCTGTTTATGCTAACAAGCAGACGCTTGACTTTTGCTCCTCTCCATTATATTTGTTATTTCACCATATTTAGCTAATTGTTGTCTTGAAGAGACGACATTTGTGCCATTAGCGAGCGCCGTCATTTCAATTCTATTTAGGAGTTCAACGTTTCTGTGCTTATTGGCAAATCAAGCTAGTTTCGGCACATGGAACTACGTGTCTGCCAGCAATATTCAAACCAAACATCGTTACCTGAAAGATGTATGACAAAGTAAGGAGACAGTCCCCCACTGATAACTTTCATTCTTATTATCGAATTATTGATTTTTTTTTCTATAGTGCTGAACTGTCATCAGGAAGGAATAGTTATTTAGTATCGAGACGAAGTTAGGAAAAATAATCATGAATGTCGACCCACTTCTCGGACGGTATCTATAGTCTGAACCCAGTGGGAGAATAGTTTTGCAACCTGGAAGAGATATGACAATGAAACCCAATCAAATGTACAAGTATTGTTATCGAAAGTTATTTGGTCATCATGACATGTCGAATGTTTTCTGTGACGGTATTATTATAACACCGGTCTAGTCTAATAGACATTACAGAATAGATAAAATTAAAAGTGGAAATAATTTTTTTTTGTATTGTATCTAATTCACTTTTTATTGTACAAATAGCTTAAATTCAGATATAAACAAACTTACACTAATACATTACATGTTTAAGTCGAAAGTAAACGCAGTATATATAGTTTATACGAATCTTCACAAGTTCCTGCGATTACAAGCTAATCATGAATTTTCCGTCAACCAGAAGGTACTAACTAATAATCTAAAGAGAAATAACGACTGAAGCCTTACTGGTATATTAGATAGATTCTAATATCCGGGCAACGCAGGGCGATGACGAGGTAATTAAACGTTAAGAAATTTAAGAAGCGTTTACCGTGCACGACTTTTGATCATGAATTTCTAAGGTTTAAATAATCAAGGTAACTCCAGACTTGATCGGGTCACATGACGCATAGCTGACCCCTTGACCCCAGTAGATAGACTGAAAGTGGCACTACATGTATTATTATGTGAGGCAATCACACCAGTGAGTATTGCAACCACTAAATTAAATAAATAGAGCAGAGAATCTTCAATCAGTCACCGCCGTGCAGGGATACAGATAGTCACAAGATACTCTTGCGTGCTGAATTAACCGACAAACACACCGCCACTTTGCAGATGATTTCTCAACCAAATAGTATATGAGATCACTTAGCCAGGTGAATCAAAAACAGTCGGCGAGAGGGTGGTAGTTTGACTGCATTTCCAGGCTCAGCTGACGTATATGTTATTGAGGCCAAAAATACCCTTTTCAAAAATAATAGCAAATCCTATTTTGAAGAATCATTTCTCTTGCAGATTTGTTTTGAAATAAAACAGATATCGCCAAGTAAGTTGGATGGACGACGTGTCAATACGTACAGGAACCATCCGAGACCAAGGCGAGCAGGTTTTTTGTTGAAAATTTCATTTTGCTTGTTTTAAAAATGTTTGAAAAAGTTACATTTTGGTCATGTAACTTACGAACCACATTTTAGATGCAATTACATCCCATATTTGCGCTGCTATACACAGAGATACACGTATACATTTATGGTTGAAAAATGGCAAACGTGCACATCAGTCCTCTTTGGCCATAGCTCAGACATTTTGTGTGTGGGTTACGGCAACGTCTGACGTGTATGTAATGTCATAGTACCGTGATACCGCTACGAACGGTTGTCGTCCTGGTGAGGTGAGATCACTCACTGGTTAAACTTGCCAATCATTTGACTCGTGTCCTTAATTCCGACTGCTTTACAACCCCGCCTTTAAATACGTTCGTTGGTGACCTTGTCATGACATTCCGCGAGTTCTGACCACCTGTGTATACGTGCTCAGGCGAACTACATGACGGGCACACTAACTAACATTTTGATATGATATGAAGGTAACCCAGTTATTAACCATGATGATTGTGACAATTGATACCCTAATGGGGGTCGACAAACGCCTGTTCAACTCATGACAAACAAAAATAGGAACAACGAGGTCATTTTGAAACTGATCCTTCCCAGGAATATAACCCAAGCATATACATAATACTAATCACGTGCACGTTAGAGGAACTGGGGAGGGGGGGGGGGGGCATTACGCAACACTACTAA